CCCCCCTCAGCCTTCTCTTCTCCAGACTAAAAAGCCCCAAGTCCCTCAGCCTCTCCTCCTAAGAGAGATGCTCCAGGCCCCTCATCATCTTCATAGCCCTGTGAAGAAAATAGATTGAGAAGCCTAATTTTAGTCCTTTAAGTAGTAACGTAGCTTGAAGATGAGCTTGGGAGTTAAATCTAAGTATTTGTTAACCTCTTAGCTTTTTGAGGAGAATGCTGTTGAACGAGACCAGAGCGATTTTAACCTCTCTTAAATAAAGCCTCTAAAATTCTGTGGTTCTTGGAGCATGTGTTAGTGTTAATGAGATGTGTAGTGAGGGATGAGGAATGGCCATGGAATTCCAGTTCTTCTTCAAGAGTCATCATGGTGCAGGAAAAGAGAAGTTTGACATCAAAATCTGTGTTTTCCTGTAGAAGAATATTAACAGTAATCCAAAGGGCTCCTGCAACCAGGTGATTCTCTTGCTGTGCAGAAGGGATCTAGGATAGCTTTAGGAAGCAACGTCGTCCTGCTTTGGTGCAGGAGCTTTGGTTTAGGTGGCTGGCACTGGAGTTAGTCCTGGCCTTGGAGGGAGTCTGGTGCTGCGAGGGCTGGCCCCCGCCTTAGCAACTAACTAACTAACGCTGTGGTGTTGGCTGGGCTAACTCAGATAAGGAGCAAAAAAATATTTTCCTCCAAATCCAAATGGAAAAATGTGAGAAGTATTTGTGTGGGGCACCGGCAGCGAGTCTGGCACAGGAGGAGCTGAGGGGAGTGCTCGTGGCTGGAGTGTTTCAGAACAAAGTGAGGGAGCTGGCAGCTCCTCCGGTTTCTTCTGGTGTGCTTTTAAGTGGTTACGTTCAAACACACAAAAAATACATTGTACTGTTATGAACAGTAACAAAAGGAGAAGAATAAAAGCGCTGGTTTCCTTATCTCCATCCTTCAAATTGTTTTTATTTTTTTTTTTTTTTTTTTTTTTTTAGTGTTTTAAGGAAGTGAGACTTTGAAATGACTCTGCCTTATGGGTTTGCCAGGGTTACGTTTTATTCAGGAAGAGAGTGTTAGTGTTTGGTTGATATTTAAACACTCTTTGATCCCGAATGCCCTGTTTCTCCCTTTTAAATGATAGCAGCAGCTTTCAACCAACAGCAACCCTATTACTGCTTCCTATATCTTTCTCTTTGGTGTCACTGTGTAGAATGTGGAGATTAAAGGGAATAAAATAATTACTTTCTAGCCCCCTAAATTCTCACTGTGTTTTTTCAGTAGGCTCCAGCATTATTTGGGTAATCATCATAACTGGGCAATGCTGGTCAATACGTACTGTACTCGTGTGCTGTCTTATCCTAATGTATGTAGCTGGATTCCTTATGTGTTTGTGGTCTGTTACATAGCACATACTTGTCTTGCAAGTTCTGGTGCTGCTGTGGAACAATACTGGGATGTATCTGTCAGTGCCAGCCAGCAAAATTTGCTGTAGTAAAGGTCTTTTGACACAGGATGGAAGGGAGCCAAGTTACGTTTATGAAATTTCCAACTTAAGCAACAACGCTCAGCATTTAAATCATAATACAATAGAGAGAGAGTATAGTAGTTATGATATCAGCATCTAGGTTGTTTTTATGGTATTTCATAAATGGTTGTAATTTTGTGAACGTCTGTGTGTGTAATGTAGGATACAGGAAATTTAGCAGGGTAAAGGCTGGAGCAGTTAGGTGCTGTTTGCTCCACAGTTTGACTGTAGATGGTCTCAGGTGTCTCCCTCTGGCCATGGTGTGTCACCTGGTAAAAGGAAATTTAGCAGGGTAAGGGCTGGAGCAGTTAGGTGCTGTTTGCTCCACAGTGGAAGGTTTGACTGTAGATGGTCTCGGGTGTCTCCCTCTGGCCATGGTGTGTCAGATGGTAAGAAATCCAACACAGGGTTATGATATCTTTTTGAATCTAGACACCATCTTCATAATTTTTTCTGTGCTGTAGCAGAATGGATACACTTTTCTTACTCTGCCCTTTTGTGACAGTTTTTCTCCATCTCTGCTTGATACTCAGTTTTGTTTCTTTTAGTTTAGCAAGATGTGGACCAGAGGCTCTTCCATCCCTGTGAATAGCTGGGTACCACTGGTTCTGCCTGTTTTTTGTCAGACCAGAACTGTTTTGGTGCAGGGAATGAAAACAAAATGTGACCTGAAAGGTAAATCGAGCCAAAATAAAACGAGACCGAGAAATCCAACACAGGGTTATGATATCTTTTTGAATCTAGACACCATCTTCATAATTTTTTCTGTGCTGTAGCAGAATGGATACACTTTTCTTACTCTGCCCTTTTGTGACAGTTTTTCTCCATCTCTGCTTGATACTCAGTTTTGTTTCTTTTAGTTTAGCAAGATGTGGACCAGAGGCTCTTCCATCCCTGTGAATAGCTGGGTACCACTGGTTCTGCCTATTTTTTGTCAGACCACTACTGTTTTCGTGCAGGGAATGAAAACAGAATGTGACCTGAAAGGTAAATTGAGCCAAAATAAAACAAGACCAATGGATGACATATAAACATTGGAGGGTGAATCTTGTAGTTAACATCTGCTGATCAAGCAGGATTAAAAATACCTTTATTTTGCCAACAGTTAGGACACTGATGATTGCAGCAGTCTGTTGAGCCAAATGACTGGAGTGTTCTTCCCCCAGTCAGGAGGTTTGTTTCTTCCCAGTTACATCTTGCAACATGTGATTGGTTTTTATTTTCCTCCGGTGACTTCTCACCTTTGTTGAAAGTGCCAAGTTCTTAAAATCCATCAGAAAATCTCTTCCTATTATGTTGTCTTTTCTTTCAGTGGCTTTTCTTCCCCCATCAGTTCATTCTTCTGTGTCCCAAACCCTCAGCCTTCCCTCACTCCCTGATGCTTTTTCTGGAACAGTTCTTAAATGTTTTAGAGATGATTTGTGGAAAGGCTTTGCAAAAATTTAATGTATATTCATGGCTTTAATACAGGAATTCTGCAAGTCTAGCTTTGGTGTGTTAAAAGATTACTGCTTCCAACCACCTGCTCAGCCCTTTGGTCAATGATTTCCAATCCTTCAGCAGATTCAGTAAAGAGAAATGCACAAATGTGGCTTTCTGCTCCTGTGAGAAGCTCAGTGGTTTGACTCAGCCCCTTCTTAACTTGACCAGAGATGTTGAACTTGGTACGTGCATGCGGTGCTGTGTGCCTTCTCTTGACATGTGCCTTGCTCAGCAGAATTTGAATACTTCACCTCTACAAGCAAGAGAAAATCTAAAAACCAATTCCTTCCCCTAGCGTGGGGCCAGCTCTCATGTGACAGGGCTTTGGTGGGGGATTATCAGATTCGAGAAAATTAAATAAGTTCGGTAGAGTGTGTGGTGTTGGACCCATTCTCCCATAAATAAACTCTTTTCAACCTTGTGTTGTGACCTGGCTCACAAATAAGCATAACATTACATGTTCTTTCACAGCAGGCAGAAATTATTTCTTTTGCTGTCCACTTTATGAACAGCAGCCTTTTAGCCCAAAAGGCGTTTGAGTTAAAATACTCGTGTTTCCTTTTGCATGGGAATGATGTTGCTTTTTCCTTCAACCTTCTTATCCTTCTTTCAACCCTGAGCAGCATCCTGCTGCTTCATGTGTTGAAGGGCACACGTCCATGCTTTAGGAGGAGTTGCAAAAGGGAGGTATCTGGCAGCAGAACATCACAGTGCTGTTACACAATAGGTGAGGAAAGGACTCATGAGAAACGGGTGAAAAGAAAGGAATGTGGAATGGCAGGAACCAAAAGCATTTTTCTCGTTTTAGGTTATGTCTTGCTGTTTGTAGATACTTGTGACTTATCCTTGTAAGTGTTTGAACTGAAGTTGCAGTGCAGTGTTGTATGTACTTGACTTTGACACGTGATAAAACATACAATGTGTTGGATGCATATCATAAAGCTGTATTTTAAAAAAATAAAACAAGAACAACAAAAAACTCCAAGTTTGTAGTCCTTTAGCTCTAGTTAACATTAAAGAACAAATGCTTAGCTGCTCTGTTAAAAGAGTTGTTCTTAGCCCTTCAGAACCCCATGTGATAAGAAAAAGATTATAGATTAACTAACTATTTTAAATTGTCCTTAACCTTGGCTGACAACAAAAATGTGAGTAAAACCTTTACTACCGAGTAGGAGTGTACCAGGACATATGTCCTTTCTTTCCATTGAGCAATTCCATCCTTCCAGAAGTTGTGACGTTCCCAAATTGCACATGTCAGCACAACACAAAACAGCTTTGTAAATCATAATAAAGGTTTATAACCATAGTGTTGTGGCTGAATGTAGAGTCTGTTTACTTCCTGAGGGATCTGAGAGTGTAGCCCTCTGACTCCAAATTGTCAAACGCTAAGAGGTAAAACCTGGGTTGAAGAAAATGTTTCAGGAATATTACAAAACAGTTATTATACAAAATTAATTTTAGTGCTGTGCATTTAACTTCACTCATTTTTGGCATAGAATCTGTGGAATTTTTAGTTCCAGTGCAACAATTCTTTTAGGTTTGTTTTTAGGTTTGTTTTGTGTAAGTGTTTCACTAGCAGAGCTACCCACATAAAGTATATAGAAAATCTTAAGACATGTATTTGTGCTGACAAATATACTAGTAAATTTAGGTTAATAAAGTAAGACAACTGTCACTACTTACTCTGAGTGTTATGCTTTAAACTTCTGTAGTTGCAGATCTGTTTATTTGGCCTGTGCCCTAAATTATGGTATAATGAAGCGTAAGAATAGGCTTTATACTGCACATGTCATCACACTTACTTTCTACTATGTGGCCTTGTATAAAATCTGTGTGACAAATTCCCAGATGAGATCAGAAAAGTTAGGCAATATCAGATGTCTCTTAATGTCTTTAGGCAGGCCTGTGTTAAGATTTTCTTCTAAAAGGTGGTTATTCTAGGGGTGGGAGGATCTTTCAGCCTTAAAATGATTCCCTAACCTTCAGTCTTTGATTTTTTTTTTTTTTTTTTTCCTTGCAGACCTTTCAGCAGCCCAGAGAAAATTTGCCCATTCTCTGAGAGACTTCAAATTTGAATTCATTGGTGATGCAGAGACAGATGATGAAAGATACATAGGTAGGTAAGAAGTGACTGCAAGTAGCTATGTTTTGCTGTGCCATCCTGTGACAAGATTAAACATATCCTCTGGTTTTGTATTACAGATGCATCCCTTCATGAGTTTTCAAACTTTTTAAAAAATCTGGAAGAACAAAGAGAAATACTGGTGAGTCGCAGTGAAAATGTTAAAAAGCTGTATATGTAGCACGGATGAAGTAAGATGAAAGTCAGTTACAATTGCTCACTGCTGTGTTAACCAAGGTGTTGATATCAGTAACTTGACAGTGAAAGCTCTCACGGTGCAGCCTCTGATTCTGTAGTCTAGAGTCACAGACAGCAGCTAGTTCTCATTGAAGAAGAAAGCTCTCATGTAAGGCCAGATAACTATGAGTTGGTTTAAAATGGTAGTGCCCTGATAAATTGTGGCTGGGGTGAATGGGGAAAACCATCATAAGGTTGTTTGCCCTTTACAGTAAAAAGCAAGATGAAATACTTAGTGCTGCAGCAAGACACCAGAGGAGAGCCATCAAGCTGGTGAGGGGTCTGGAGAACAAGTCCTATGAGGAGAGGCTGAGGGAACTGGGCATGTTTAGTTTGGAGAAGAGGAGGCTGAGGGGAGACCTCATTGTCCTCTACAACTACCTGAAAGGAGACTGTAGAGAGGCAGGGGTTGGCCTCTTCTCCCAAAGGACGAACGACAAGACCAGAGGAAATGGTCTGAAGTTGGGGCAGGGGAGATTTAGATTAGATATTAGAAAGAATTACTTTACTGAGAGGGTGGTCAGGCACTGGAACAGCCTGCCCAGGGAGGTGGTGGAGTCACCATCCCTGGAGGGATTTAAGAAACGTATAGACATGGCTCTTCAGGGCATGCTCTAGTGCCCAAGGTTATTGGTTTATGGCGAGGTGTTGAGTGTGGGGTTTAGTTGGTGGGTGCGGTGTTTTTGGTGGGCGTTTGGTGTGGTGTGTTGGTTTTTTTTGTGGTTGGACTCGATGATCTCAGAGGTCCCTTCCAACCACTAAGATTCTGTGATTCTGTGACACCCGAGGTTGGGAAGCTGGCCAAATTTGGATCCAGGTTTTCTGTGGCTTCAACACTTAGGGGGATTTGGAATGCAGTCTGTTGGCTGGATGCAGCAGGAGACTTACAAACCTTTTATTTGTAGGTGAGCTTTCTGGTGGATGGTTGCATCTGCAAATCTATGGTTGCTCTGTTGTGTAGAAAAGAGCGTTCTTCATTCACATATCTCTGATTGCTTAGGGGTTTAGTGTAATAAGGGTGAAGTTGGCTGCACGTGGACTGTGGGCTGAGAGCTCTGTGATACACCTTGCTATCTTGATTTCCTAAGTTGTCTAGAAGAGGGGGGGTTCTTTCTAGATGGTGCTGTGGTTCTCCTCTGCAGTTGTGCGCCTGGCTTTCAGAATCACAGAATCTTCTAGGTTGGAAGGGACCTTAAAGATCATCTTGTCCAACCGTCAACCTAACTGACAAAAATAGACACCCACACAACAAACAAGGAGCATCATCACTAAACCAGACCTCCCAGCACCACATCAACCTGTCTTTTGAACACCTCCAGGGATGGGGCCTCAACCACCTCCCTGGGCAGCCCATTCCAACGGCTGAGAACCCTTTCAATGAAAAAATTTTTCCTAATATCCAGCCTGAACCTCCCCTGGGGCAACTTGAGGCCATTTCCTCTTGTCCCATCACCTGTGACTTGACAGAAGAGACCAACCCCCACCTCTCTACACCCTCGTTTCAGGTAGTTGTAGAGAGCAAAAAGGTCTCCCTTCAGCCTCCTCTTCTCCAGGCTGAACACCCCCAGCTCCCTCAGCCTCTCCTCACAAGACTTGTGCTCCAGACCCCTCACCATCTTTGTCGCCCTTCTCTGGACCCGCTCCAGCACCTCAATGTCTTTTTTATGGTAGGGGGCCCAAAACTGGACACAGTACTCAAGGTGAGGCCTCACTAGTGCCCAGTACAGGGGGACAATCACCTCTCGGGCCCTACTCCCCACGCTGTTCCTGACACAGGCCAGGATGCTTGTGGCCTTCTTGGCCACCTGGGCACACTGCTGGCTCCTGTTCAGCCCACAGTCGACCAACACCCCCAGGTCCTTTTCTGCCAGGCAGCTCCAGCCACTCTGCCCCCATTTCAGAGTGGGGATTCATAGAGCAGAAGATGTGTGCCCAGTTTTCTTCTGAGTGTGGTCAGACCCTGCATCTAGGAAATGCTCCGTAGATCTGCCTACATAGAAACTATGTTCCTCAGTATTTGCCATGGGATTATATCTTTATTGTCCTAGAAGTCAGTGACCACTTGGCATCATTGAGAGGAAACTGAGACTAATTTGTGTTGTGTTCCTCTCGGCCAGATGCTGTGCCTGCAGTGTAGGAGTTTGTAAGTAAGTGAGAAAAGAACTTGCAAACAATTTTCTTTTTTTTAAACATTTCTCTCTGCCAGTTCTGAGCCCAGTAACGGTCATGGTTCTTTGAGTGTGTAATACTATGTCCTGGGATGTCATTCTGACCTGGAACCACATTTGGGTCAGAATTAGGGTCTACATTGTTCCTTGCGCATTCCTGGAGAATATTGTCTTTACATAGTAGAGGCAATTTTTCAGTCTGTTCAGTTGTTTTGCCAAGTTGTAGGGATTTGCTCAAGTATGTTTGAATGCTGCTTTTGTTTTTCTTAATTCTGAAATACACTTAGCTCTGCTTGTTCTTGCCTGCCATCCATAACTGTATTTTATTTTAGTGAAGTTGCATACACCTAATTAGTGAAAGCCTTTGGGAAGTTTTACAGCGGAAAATGCTTTAGAGCCTGTCAAATTATTTCCTACACTATTTTGGCATAAGGTTTTTGAGAGATGTCAGCTTCAGGACTTGAGAATTGAGGCACGTTTCAGTGAGTGTGTCAATAGACCTTCAGCAGGCTGTGCAGAATCCTGTGCTGTCTGTCCATGTAGTAAAACACTTCTGTCTTTCAGACTGAATGCCACAAAACAAGTGTTAGTTATTGTTTTGGTATGCTGCCCGTGCTCACACAGAAGGTATTACCACACTAAAAGCTAATTAATGTCACTTTCTTGAAAAGAAGAGTATGAAGTAGCTGTTGGAACGGTGACAGTTTGATGAAAAACTTGGGAGTGTAAAATATTGTGGGGCAAATATTTAATTCCAAACAGAAACAGAATGTATTCTCTGAGTTACCAGATGCACGGCCTTTTTGTCTGTAGTCTGGCAAATGTTATGTTATCTTTTCTAGATTGAGTTAGTAAAACAGGGCCCCTAAGTCTCTGAGAAAATGATTATACGGTGACTGGTAAACATCATTTTCAGAGGCCCCTGCTCTGACTTTTCTTTTTTTTTTTTTTTTTTTTTTTTTTTTTTTGTGACTTCTCACTAGATGTTTTAACAGTGGCATGAACTCTAGGGATACTCCCGTGGAGAATATTAGGGCACGTTGCATTCACAGATGTTTGGAGTCAGGTCAGGGATCCAAAGATTTTTCCATTAAGATGCAAAGCATATAGGAGGATTTTCTTCAAAAGCATTCAGTCATCTTTGTTAAGAATGTTCTTACTGAGCTTTTTTCCCCCTACCATTTTGAAGATGACCAGGAGGTTTCCAACTGCTCACTTCAGTTTCAGTGCAGAATTGCAGATAAATGTCAGTCGTGTAAAGTAAAATTAATCAATGACTTATTATAGAACTAAGGGCATTTCAGATATTGCTGTGCATTTTAATTTTTAGATATTTGCTTAAAAGGTTATTTTTTTCACAGCTGTATGGTAAATGAAACAGATGTGTGCTTAAAATACATTCTAAACTGAAGTTGAATACTCATCACCTACGCTTCTCATGGTTTTCTGAAAGTGTTGTTTGTGGTGAATCTAGAGTCCGTAAAAGCATCTGTTAGTGTTTACCATAAATTTACATGTTTGGTTATCATTTGTCTGGTGAATATTTATTTGGTGGATATTTAATAAATTCATCCAGATGTTGGAGTCTTTGCATTTCCTGGTCTTACCATTTCTCCCATCTCCTTCAAAGGCTGCTGAAATGATATCCCAGCTGTCAAAGGATTTAGTTGCTTGTGAAAAGGGAATTCAGCATTAATCCAAATGTTTCACTGAAATTATTATGGAGTGGCCAGTAAGAAATAAATAAATTACATTTCCATGGTACTGTAGCTTGGTGACTTTCTCCAGGGCAGATAAGAAATAGGTCACTTTGTCCCTGAGGATATTCTGGGGATATTCTGGAAATGACTTTTATGTGCAAAGCTCGAATGGAGCCGTAGGACTTACATTCTGCTCCTTTGACATGACAAAAACATCATGGAGGTGCCAGGATGAAAGGGAACTTCACAAGGCTGGTAGGAAAAGGTTGGGGATGAACAACCACCAACATGGCGATGACCAAACCTCCCTCCCAGTCCCAGTTCTCCTGACAGCAGAAGCAGGTTTGATTCTTGTGATGGGCTCAGAACAACAGGCTTCCCTGGCTGCCCTCATTTCAGCTGCAGTGATGAGCAGTGCAGGGCCACCTGGTAGGTACTGACCACCTGTGGTTTCCTCCTTCTTCACCTTCCTTTTTACCACCTCCATACCTCCTTTCCTCCATCCATTCTTCTCCCAAATCACCGGCCTGCCGTAATTAGTTTTTCCTCTTGATTCCAGTCTTGCTGAATCATAACCACATTTGATAACACTTGTACTGTTCCCTCAGTAATCTCATCAGTACTTGGCACTACCGGTGCGGTCACCCTGCTGTGCTGGCTCTACGTGCTTCCAAACCCTTGAGGGACCTCCATCCTGCCCTTCAGCTGCTTCTGGAGTTCAGCTGTTCCTCAAGTGACTCTCCGTCAACCACGCTGGTGGTCCAGTCACCCCTCATGGCTCTGTCTGTAATTTTTGTCACCCTCTCTCACAGTTACGGGCCGGGAGTTCAGCTGTTCCTCACGTAACTCTCCCTCAACCATGCTGGTGGTCCAGTCACCCCTCATGGCTCTGTCTGTAATTTTTGTCAGCTTCTCTCACAGTTATGGACCATGTCCATCACTCCCTGGTCCTCCCTAGTAGTGTCTCCTGTCCCATTGAGTTATCTTAACTGGGCACGTTGGCTGCATTTGCCTGCAGCCCTGCCAGAGCTGTGGCT